TGAGCCACCACTCCAGTCCCTTATATCTACTTTTTTACTATCAAGATTAATGCTGCTGAGCATTCATGTACAAGTATTTTATATAAACATACATTTTTCACTTAGTGGGGTAGGTACTTAGGAGTGGATTTGCTGTATGGTAAAATTTTTTTTTAAATATTTATTTTTTGTTGTTGGATACAATACCTTTATTTTATTTATTTATTTATTTTTATGTGGTTCTGAGGATCAAACCCAGGGCCTTGCACGTGTGAGGCAAGCAATCTATCGCTGAGCCATAACCCCAGTCCCTGAATGGTAAATTTTTTAACCTTTTAAGAAACTGCCAAACTGAATCTGGGGATATGTCTCAGTTAGTAGAGTGCTTGCCTTGCATGCATAAGGCCCTGGGTTCAATTCCCAGCACCACAAAAACAAACAAACAAACCAAAAAACCCTGCCAAACTGTTTTCCAAACAGTTTTAATATTTTACATTCCTGTCAACAGTGAATGAGCATTCTAATTTCTCTGTTCTATGTTCTTTTCAACATTTGTTCACTTATTATTGTCAGTCTTTGGAGTTTTTTGCTTTGTTTTTGTTTTGGTACTAGTTAGTGATTGGCATATGCTAAGCACATGCTCTACCACTGAGCTATATCCCCAGACCTTTTTATTTTTTATTTTGAGACAGGGGCTCACTAAGTTGTTTAGGGCCTTGCTAAGTTGCTGAGGCTGGCTTTGAATTTGTGATCCTTCTACCTCAGCCTCCTGAGTTGCTAGGATTTTCAGGTATGTGTCACTGTGCCCAGCTATCCCAGTCCTTTTTACTTTTTTTAAAAAATATTTATTTTTTAGTTGTAGTTGGACACAGTACTTTATTCATTTATTTATTTTTATGTGGTGCTGAGGATCAAACCCAGGGTCTCTCACATGCAAGGCAAGCGCTCTGCCGCTGACCACAACCCCAGCCTTCATTTTTACTTTTGTACTTTGAGATGGGGTCTCACTAAATTACCCAGACTAGCTGAAACTTGCAATGCTCCTGCCTCAGCCTCCTGAGTCATTGGATTATGGTCATATACCACGCTGCCTGGCCCAGCTGTCAATCTTTCTTGTTATACCCTTCTGCAGAACTTTTTTTTTTTTAATATTTATTTTTTAGTTTTTCGGCGGACACAACATCTTTGTTTGTATGTGGTGCTGAGGATCAAACCCGGGCCGCACGCATGCCAGGCAAGCGCGCTACCGCTTGAGCCACATCCCCAGCCCTCTGCAGAACTTTTAAAAATATACACAATGTCTTGGCTCTATCTCAGACCAATCACATCAGAATCTTGGGGTTTGGGACCTTGGCATAGGTATGCAAAACGAAAACCTATCTACTTTAAAAGGTGTTACTATGCAGAAGAGTAAGGGACTAGAGGTTCAACCTCCGATCAGAAGCTCTGCCTTCCCCAGCACTAAAAAGGGAGCTCAAGCCGGCCAGCGGTCTCCCCCACACCAAGAGACAAATGGTTTGGAGCATGGGAGACAAGATTCCCTCCAAGAAAGCACATGTGTGGTCCCAGGATGGACCAGCTTATTGACAGGGCATGATGGTGCCCTCCTGTAATCCCAGAGACTCGGGAGCCTGAGGTAAGAAGATGCAATTTTGAGGCCAACCTGGGGCTACTCTGCAAGATCCTATTTCAAATTTTTTTTTTTTTAAATGAGAGGGTTTGGGGTGTAGCTCCACAGTAGAACAAATAACTGGCATGTGTGAGACCCTGAGTTTAATTCCTAGTATGGGGGGTGGAAGGGCATGTTGGAAGGGAAAGTGAAAGAGCTTGGAAGTGGGTTGTGTGAAAAAGTCCCAACTTCTCCAGGCATGGTAGTACATGCCGCCTGTAATCCTAGCTACTGGGGAGGCTGAGGCAGGAGGATTGCAGGTTCGAGGCCAGCCTCAACAACTTAGCGAGGCCCTGAGCAACTTAAAGAGACCCTACCTCAAAATAAAAAATAGCACTGAGCCTCCAGGTGGAACGCCTTGTATGGTGGAGCTGGCTGCTTCTGGGTTACCTCCAGCAATGCTGACGTAATGCTAAAACAGTTCATGAGAAGGCAGCAAGTTCCCATGCTCTACAGAAAGATTTTGCGAGCAATTTGCCAAGTTTCAAATGATTCTGATCTCAAGTACCTGAAAGACTGGGCAAGAAGAATTCAAAAGAAACAAAAGTGCCACCAAAGAGCATGCAATCCAGACGATGATTACTCAGGGCACTATGCAGCTAAAGGAGTTAGAAGAAAACACTTGCTTCAGCAAAATCTTAATATAGCATTATTCTGGAGGATCTTCGGTTGAGCCTGGTTGCAGTGGACAGCTCAAGGCCAAGTCAAACTGTATGTACAGTACTTGAGCAAAATATCCAGACAGACAGGCTGTGTTACAGAGAGCAGAGAAAATCACATCTAAGTAATTGCCTGGGGACTGAAAAATATACTTGAGTTTTGAAAATGAAAACTAATGATAAAAATATAATAAAAAAGACTGAGTGTGACCCATCACACACACACAATAAAAAAAGAAGGAAGGGAGGAAGCTGGGCAAGGTGGCGCACACCTGTAATTCCAGTGGCTCAGGAGGCAGAGGCAGGAGGATCGAGAGTTCGAAGCCAGCCTCAGCAATGGTGAGGCTCTAAGCAACTCAGTGGAATCCTGTCTCTAATAAAATACAAAATAGGGCTGGGGTGTGGCTCAGTGGTTGAGTGCCCCTGAGTTCAATCCCTGGTATTCCCCGCCCCCCCAAAAAAAAAGAAGGAAGGAAGAAAAAAAAGAAAGAAAAGTCCCAATTTCTGCCTAGCCAGCTAAGATTGCAACAGGGCACTTCCCATGACCTTAGGGGTCGGTCAGGCCCCTGGGGAGATTAGGGAAGAATGACATTCCTGGCTGCAGACCAACTCCAGACAACCCTGAAGAATCGCAGAGAGATGGATGGTGCCACCGGAAGCAGAGAGAGCTTAGAGGCTCAGCTGGGAAGTAGGCCAGGGCCACACAGGCTGCCATAAAATTCCTCTTTTTGAAGAGTCTGTGGAGGATAAGAACCATCCATTCTTGAATTCCACAAATGTTTATGGAGCCCTTCCATGTGCCAGACTCGGCTAGGCACTGGACATTCAGCCAGGAGTAAGAATGCCAGGCTCCCTCCCACCCCCGTGGGGCAGCACAATCAATAAATATCTAGGCAGACAGAAGGACAGGCAGTGAGGGGACGGGGGCCTCTCATTGGGGTGACATTGGAGTAGAGGTCTGAGTGAACGGAGGAAGCCATCTACGTCAGGTATGTGTTTGAAGATGCACTGGCAGAAGAGCTGGTGGGAAGCCCACGCTGCTCAAACTGGTGTGTTCCGAACCGCGGGATAAGATGGAGCCACAGAGGGAGGGGACAGGAGCTAGGTCACCTAGAATGTCTTGGGGGTCACGACCAGAGATCCAGGTTGAATTTTGTGCACCATGGGGAGCCAATGGAGAGTTTGAAAAGGGTAGAAAAATGTTATGTCTTGCATTTTTCAAAAGATCGCTTTGGTTGATGCAGAGAAACTAGCCCTACAGTCGGAACTGTGAGGAGGGGGATGAGGCCAGTTGCCCAGGAGGACAGGACGGTGATCTGGACTCCTGTGGGTGCTCATGGGGACAGGATATGGATGTGGAACATCTTTTGGAGTTAGAGACACCAGGATTTGCTGACATGAAGCATAGGATAAAAGGGGCGAGAATGTTTGACTTGAACGTTCACTGTGTGAAGGGCAGTGCTCTGATCTGGGATGGAGAGACAGAGAGGAACAGCATTTTACACTGGTGGGGGAGGGCTTGCTCAAACATGGAAAAGAGGAGGAAGGTCAAAGGGCTGTGATGTCCTGATTGCCGGCTATGGGTGGGCAGTCCTTGTTAGACCAATGCACATGCTATGTTGGGACTCCAGAGACTGTAGTATTAGGGCATCTTGGAAACAGTCAGTGCTGGAAGGTGTTGGCTGCTTCTTGCAACTTTTAGGAAGGCCCTCCAAAAAGGAGACAAGTTTAAGCTAAAGATGGACCTAACATTATTATCAAAAGAAACAGTCCCACCAGGTGTGGTGGCTCAACGCCTATAATTCCTGTAATTCAGGAGGCTGGGACAGGAGGATCACAAGTTCAAGGCCAGCCTCAGCAGCTTAGTGAGGCCTTGTCTCAAAATAAAATGGGCTGGGGATGTAGCTCAGTAGTAAAGCACCCTGGGTTCAATCTCCAGTGCACCCTCTCCCCGAAAAAGTCCCTACCACTTATCACCTCCTCCCTTCAGTCACTTTGAAATGTCAACTGGTTTATGAAACCCAGCCATCTAGGTGGCACTGTTACAGATGCCCCACCCCTTTCTCCAAACAATCTGAGGCTGGAAAACCCATGCAGAGTGTAAGGAAACCGAGGGTTTCCTTAGAGGAACAGAGAGAGAGGACTGGCCCCCATGAGTAAATCAGCGTCAACCAGCAGCTGACACAGGCCTAGAAACGGGAAGATGGGTGGAACCAAGAAAAAAGGAACTCAGAGGGAAAATGAGCTGCTCCAGGTCGACATTCAGGCCAAGACCGAGAGGGCAGGTACCAGTGCAGATGACCCAGGGCCCGGGAAGCAGCACCTTGTCAGAAACCTCACAGTCCTTGAGTTTCAAACCTGGAAAGTCCTTCAGGGACCAGGTGGCCCGCTCTGTCCCCGGATAAAGGAACTTGTCTTCAAGGAGGAAATGAGAAAGGAGAACACAGGGACAGGTCTCCTCCTAGCCTTAGAAGCCACAGAAACTCAGCCAACAGTTCTGCCCCGGCTGAACTTAGAAAGCCCCAGTCTTTTTTTTTTTTTTTAATATTTATTTTTTAGTTGTACTTGGACACAATATCTTTATTTTATTTATTTTTATGTGGTGCTGAGGACTGAACCCAGGGCCTCGCACGTGCTAGGCGAGCGCTCTACCGCTGAGCCCCAGCCCCCAAGTCTTATATTTCCCCTTTATTTGGTAACTGTCCAGTCCCCAAGGGGCTTGTTCTGTCCAGCTGTTTACATTGTGGGAACAGATGTAATCAAGTTCTTCCTGGGCTGCTATGTGTCCCCCTCAGGCCTCTCCCTCATTCCGACTGCAGCCCCTGTCACATGTCCTGGGCACACCCAGGATGACCCACACAGACACATGAGCTGCGTGCTCTTGGCCCGGCAGGGTGAACAGCAGGGGTGGTGCCATTTCCTGAGGAGCAGCTTGGCTGGACTGGAGGTTGGGGACAGTCGGAGGGTAGAGGAGCCGATGCAGCTTCTCCAAGCTAGGCGGAGATCCAAAGGAAACACGGCTGGAGACAGGAGAAGCAAGCCAGGTGACCCAGCTGACATCCTGGGCAGAAACCCAGCTTGGCATCCTATGGCCACTGTCACCTGTGCTTACGTACTTGGACCAGGTATTTCTTCCTGCTGCACCTCAGTTTCCCAACTTGCAGAACAGGGGCAATACTAGCTCTCCCCAGGGGTCGATGTGAGCATTAACTGGGGTAATAAACAGAGAAGTTGGGGGAAGCTGGGTGTAGTGGTGCACACCTGTAATCTCGGCGATTTGGGATAATTTGGGAGGCTAAGAGAGGAGGATCACAAATTCCAGGTCAGTCTGGGCAATTTAGCTGTCTCCAAATAAGAAATAAAAACTCCCTCGGGGGCTGGGGTTGCGGCTCAGTGGTACAGCGCTCACCTAGCACGTCCGAGGCCCTGGGTTCCATCCTCAGGACCACATAAAAATAAATAAAGGTATTGTGTCCAACTACAACTAACAACAACAACAACAAAAACTCCCTCAAAAAACAAATCAAAGCAAAAACAAAAAACAAGAAAGAGCTGGATGTGGGATTACATACCTGTAATCCCAGTGGCCCAGGAGGCTGAGGCAGGAGGATTGCAAGTTCAAGGCCAGCCTCAGCAATTTAGTGAGGGCCTAAGCAATTTACAAGACCCTGTCTAAAAATAAAATACATTAAAAACGGGGGGTGGGGGTGGGTGGATGGGGATTTTGCTCAGTGGTTAAGTGCCCTTGGGCTCAATCCCCCATACAAAAAAAAAAAAAAAAAAAAAAAGACACAGAGTGGATAGTTGAGACAATGGGCTCTGGAGCCAGACCAACTTGAGCTGATTACTTAACCTCTCTGGTCTCAGTTGCCTCATCTGGAATCTGGGGGATGATGATACTTACAGGATGTTACCAGGTGTAAGTGAATTAGGATTTGCCAAATACTTTCTGCTTGTTAACAACTGGCTAAGGCTAATTATCAGAATCGTTAATTGGGCCCTCTGGTACACCATGAAGTAGTTCTAGCACTTTATATGCTTTAATCACATAAAATCCTCACTTCTAGCTGGGTGCGTAGCTCACACCTGCAATCCCAGTGGCTTGGGAGGTTGAGGCAGGAGGATTGCAAGTTCAAAGCCAGCCTCAGCAATTTAGGGAGGCCTTCAGCACTTAGTGAAACCCTATCTCTCAATAAAATATAAAGAAGGCTGGGGTTGTGGCTCAGTGTTAATCGCCCCTGGGTTTAATCCATGGTACCAAAAAACAAAACAAAACAAAAAATCCTCACTGCTCCCCAGGACAGATCATCCCCGTTTACAGAGGTGGAAGCTGAAGCTCAGAACTGATTGGCTTTTCTATTTCCTCTAGAACAAGGGCTGGTGAACCAGGGCTGAGCAGGGACTCCAGCCAGCAGCCTGCTGTCTGAACACTCTGGAGTCGGCTTCCGAGACGCAGTGGTGGACTCAACAAAGCCCGAAATACGAACCATCTGGTGCTTTACCGGAAAGCTTTGAAGAAGCAGGACTGGAACCACGTCTGTCTGGACCAAGCACTTAGTGCTTTCCTGCCTGGGTCTCCGTGGTGCGCCGAACTCACTCTAGATGTAGAAAAGCATCTTTCTTTCTTTCTTTCTTTCTTTCTCTCTCTCTCTCTCTCTTTCTTTCTTTCGCTGGCCATGTTTTATTTGTCCTTTTTCTTCAAACAGGACAGCCAAGATACAGACGTACTGAGTAAAATAAAATAGATGGACAGATCCTAAGAGACTGCGATGCACAGGCTACATTCAACCTGATTTTATTCATGCTTGCCTTGGGGTGGGGAATAGATCATTCGGTAAAAACAAACAATGTCTTACCATGTACAACTTTTAAACTACAATAATTATGTACCTTAATTACTTCCTGCACACAGGTCTAACATTACAGTATTTTTAAAAAAATAAACACAATTAAGACTTCTAGGAGGGCTGGGGATGTGGCTCAAGCGGTAGCGCGCTCGCCTGGCATGCGTGCTGCCTGGGTTCGATCCTCAGCACCACATACAAACAAAGATGTTGTGTCCGCTGAGAACTAAAAAATAAATATTAAAAAAAAGACTTCTAGGAACATTTTATCATAAATTAATTCCTAATTTTTCTTTGTAGATAGATCAAGCACCTCCAAAATACAAATTCCTATCCACGGTGAGTACTTTACTTAAAATGTAGGAAAGATTTCTTCCCAGTCCCTCTGAGTGCTGGGAATACTCCTTTCCCTCTTCAGCGGAAGGGATTTGGGGATTCTCGTCTATCATCCTTCAAAGCCAAGAAGTTTGGGGTCAGGGACACAACCAAAGCCCTTCCTCCAACATCACTCTGAGCTGTGAGGGCTGGGGACAGTTGTTGTTTGGTGCTGGGATTGAACCCAGAGGGACTTTACCACTGAGCCACATGTCCACTCCTTTTTATTTTTTATTTTTCAGACAAGGTCTTGCTATATTCTTTAGGGCCTCGATAAGTTGCTGAGGCTGGCCTCCAACTTGTAATCCTCCTGCCTCAGCCTTCGGAGTCACTGGGATCACGGGCGCATACCACTGCAGCTGGCCTGAGGATGGTTTTGAGAGAAAGAGAAACCCAGGTAATGGAGAGGGGCAGGCTAGTGGGCAGGTCCCTGGAATCAGGGCACCTCTGAAATGGAAAAGAACCAAAGGAATGCCATTTTGCTCTGACCTGCCTCCATTTTATGCTTGCTTAAAATGTCTTCTTTCCAGCCTCCTGACGCTGTATCTGTGCTGACAGTACAGTAGGACCTTCCCACCCCCTGACTAAGGCCTTGATGTACAACAGAAATGACTCTGAAATGGATAATCAAAACAATTCTCTCATGTTACCAAAATATGTCTCAACAAGGTCTTTTCTGACCTACATCTGGCTCAACTGTCTTTGTGGTTTTTGTGGGTTTTGCCTTTATAAACTCTATACTTTCAAAATTCAGGAGCTGGGAGTTCTGGGAGGCGCTAGCCTGCTCCCAACCGCTTGCCTGGCACACTCATTAAAGGACTTTTCCCCTTTCAATTTGGCTTCATAAGTGTGGTGGTCTGTCATTCTGCTTGCTGCCTAACACCTTCTCCCCCACCTGCCCAGCTCCAGGCTGTGCGGAGTCCACGGAGCTGAGGCCGACAAGGTGCAGCAGAGGAAAAGAACCCCAGGGTGCTCTAGGTCCTGCCTTCTCCCCAGGGTATTCCAGGGCTCCAAACCAATTCCATCACTGAGCAAATATGTATTCAGCACCTTCTGTGTGCCAGGCGCTGTTCTAAGCACTAGGGATAAAGTGTTGAACAAAATCCCAGCTCTTACAGAGACAGACAAATACACAAGAAAATATTTCAAAACATACCTGTCATCCTAGCGACTTGGGAGGCTGAGGCAAGAGAATTGCAAGTTCAAGGTCGGCCTCAGCAATTTAGCAAAGCCTTAGCAACTTAGCAAGAGCCTGTCTCAGATTTAAAATTTAAAAGTGCTTGAGATGTAGCTCAGTGGTAAAGTGCTTCCGGGTTAAATCCCCAGTTATCCCCGCCCACTGCCCAAAGTAGTAAGATCTATAAGGAAAATAAACCAGGCCAACATGATTGAGAGGAACTGCTAGAGAGGCAGGGAGGGACACATCTCTGAAGTAACACCATTAAACTGAGACCTGAATGACCAGGAACCAGCCTTGGGAAGTTCAAGCAGGAAAGTGTCCCAGGTGTCCCAGGTAGAGGAATGGACACATGCAAAGGCCCTGAGCAAGAAACAGAAAGGCCAGTGTGGCTGAAGCAGAAGGAAGAAGGCTGAGAGGAGAGAGATGAACCAGGAGAAGCCCCATCACATGCCTGGAAGCCAGAGCACAGAGGCAGGAATTTCATCTTCAGTTTGCTAAAAAGCCATGCCCATTAATGCTACAGACTGTGTACCTCGAGTTTTTTTGAGCACTAAGTACCAACTGCTTATTTTTTTTTTTAAGAGAGAGAGGGGGAGAGAGAATATATATTTTTTTAATATTTATTTTTCAGTTTTCGGTGGACACAACATCTTTATTTTATTTTATGTGGTGCTGAGGATCGAACCCAGGGCCCCCTGCATGCCAGGCGAGCGCGTTACCACTTGAGCCACATCTCCAGCCCACCAACTGCTTATTAATCCTTCCAACATAATGACCTATTTAATGCCCACAAGCAATCCGAAAAGGGAGGTGCCCTGATTATCCTCATTTTGTAGATGAGGATACTGCGGCCCAGGGCTGTGGAAACACTGGCCCAGGGACACAAAGCTCTATTGAGTGCTCACAGGAGCTGTTGTAGGGACAATGGGTTACAGGGAACAAGACCCTGTAAGGGATAAAAATGATACAAAGATGGAGCTTGCATTTCAGCAAAGAAAAGAACAGGTAAGTTGGGTGCAGTGGCTGAAGTCTATAGTCCCAGCTCCTTGGGAGGACGAAGCGGAGGATCACTTGAGCTCAGGAGTTCTGGGCCAGCCTTGGCAATAGAGTGAGACCCCGTCTCACAAAATGGGGTGGGGGCCAGGCGCGGTGGCACATGCCTGTAATCCCAGCACCTTGGGGGGCTGAAACAGGAGAATTTCGAGTTCAAAGCCAGCCTCAGCAAAAGCCAGGCACTAAGCAACTCAGTGAGACCTTGTCTCTAAATAAAACACAAAATAGGGCTGGGGTGTGGCTCAGTGGTTGAGTGCCCCTGAGTTCAATCACTGGCACCCCCCCCCAAAAAAAAAAAAAAAAAAAAACACCAAAAAAACAAAAGGGTGTTGGGAAATGAATGAGGAAGAAAGAGAGAGACGGAAAGCTAATGCCCACTATGTATCACTAAATTGCTGAGTTTGGCCTTGAAATTGTGATTTTCCTTCCTCAGGCTCCCAAGTTGCTGGGATTACAGGCGAGTGCCACTGAGCCTGACTTTAATGGCTATAAAACCCACCTCCCACTCCCCCATAAACACAGTCACAAAGTTGCTTCAACCTTTCCCACCAAAGAGAGCTCATAAGAGTGACATCACAGGTTGTTAGGAAATCATATAAGTTGGCCGAGATATAGGGTGACCAGCTCTCCTGGTTTCCCTGGCACAGAGTGGGTTCCCAAGTCAGTTTTGAAGCCAGCTGGTCATCCTAACTAGATGAGTGCTTGGTGCTAAGACTCCTTCCCCTTTTCTGTTTCATTATTTGACAACAAAAAGGTAGCAGCACCTACTCCTGTCCTAGTTGCTTGGAACCTTGTAGGCAGTAGATGGGAAACAGGGGTACTGTCCGGAGCACCTAGCGCCAAGGACTCACCAAACCAGGGTCTAAGGAAACAGCAGACCCCCCTCTAGGGTGATTCCGGTCCCCTGAGTGTTGCCTTCCTGGGCTGATACACTTGTTTGGACTTGCTTTCCCAAATGGGAAGGGTCTCTGGGTCCTAAGGTCCCCAGGTCGACTCGGGGACTCCACAGCAAAGCTAGGCCAGGATGGCAAGGCCTAAGAGGTAGTTCTTATTGTCACTCATATTTTGCTGGATGAAGAAACTGAGGCTCAGCGACCCAAGTGAAGCGATTTGGCCAAGATCATGCAGGAAGATGGTGCAGGAAGAGATGAGTAATTGGAATTCGATGGCTGTGCTTGAGCAGGCCTGCTCCTGTACTTCCCTCCCTCTTGCGGGGCTTGAGTCCCCCACTTGTCTCGACAGCAACCGAACTTGTCACGGGGCTCGGTTCAACCCTCTCCACCCTCCCGGCTGCCAGCGTCCCGCCCCGTCCCCTCCCAGCCCCCAGGGAGGAGGGGAGTGCTGCAGCGAGGAGGGGGGTCGCGGAGGCCAGGCTTTATAAAGGCGCTGGAAGAGCGCTGCCCGCCAGACCCTGCCGCACGGATCCCGAGCGCTGCCCGCCGCCCCACGTGACCGCGCCGTGCCCCAGCTCCACCGCTTAGTGAGTTGGGGCATGTCCCCATCCCACCCCGGCCCTGGCCGCGAGGTCCTTTGAACCCGGGTTGGGGAGGAAAGCCGACGAAGGAGGGCGCTGAGATGGGGGCACCAGGCAAAATCTCCAATGGAAGAGATTTAGGGCCAGAGGGAACCGGGAGACCTCGGAGCCCGCGGCCCGGCTGGCCATTACGGCACCGGACCTAGGAGACCCAAACCTCGCTCCAGGAATGCGCGTGCGGTTGTTGCCACGGCAACGGACTAGCCAGAGCCCGCCGGTCTCCAGGGGAAAGGGGAGGTTGTTGGGGGGATGGGGCTGGTTCCCCGGAGGTCCAAACTCGTCACGCGGCGGTTGCACGAGGGAACTGAGAATGTCCCTTTCCCGGTGCCCCAAATCCTTCGGTAGACAAAGCGTTAGTCTCATGGCCTCTCTGAGCCTCAGTTTCTGCATCTGCCAAATGGAGGCAAGACTATTGGTTCCCAGCTCCCTGGCGAGTTATAAGCGGGTAACGGTCCGGCCCAGTTCCCTCTTATTGGACATCCCAGGAGCGGGTCTTAGCGGCCCAGACGATCCCTGCGACCCCTCCCACCCTCAGGCCCGCTGGCCATGGCCCTCTTCGGGGCCCTCTTCCTAGCGCTGCTGGCAGGCGCCCGCGCGGAGCTCCCGGGCTGCAAGATCCGCGTCACCTCCAAGGCGCTTGAACTGGGTAAGGCGTGGGTGCAGGCGCGGGGGCGGCAGCGGTCGCCGTGGGGGGCGCGGAGCTAAGGGTCTCACTGCTGCCTCAGTGAAGCAGGAAGGGCTGCGCTTTCTGGAGCAAGAGCTGGAGACCATCACTATTCCAGACCTGCGGGGCCAAGAGGGACACTTCTACTACAACATCTCCGAGTAAGTCGGCCGGGGGCGGGGCCTCGGGGCCGGGGCGGGGCCTCGACGGCCAGGGTGCCCTAGGCCTCCGGAGGGGGCGCTGACGGATCAAGGCCGAGGGGACTGGGGGCGTGGCCAAATTGAAAGGGCGGGACTTAAACAGGATGGCCCTAAAGGTAACCGCCAAGACTGCTACCATCGGCGGGACCAGGAGGTGGGTGTGGTCTAGAGGATGTGGGCGGGACCAAGACGAACCCCGCCGGTGGTTTTGAAGCCTAGCCCCAGTGCCCTGGAAAGGCGGAGAGGAGGCATTTAGCAGTGGAGGAGAGTGAACTCCAGGGCATGGGTTGGAGCTAATGGGAAGGTGACTTAGGAGAGGAGGGATAGGAGAATTGGTGTATGGGCAGAGCTTAGCTGGGGAGGGTGTAGGAGGGGAGGGGGTGCAAGCAACAAGACTTCTAAGAGATGGGGTTAGCCGGCATGGTGGTCCAGCTACTCAGGAGCTAGGAAGGTTGAGGCAGGATTGTTTTAGCTCAAGAGTTACACACCAGCCTGGGCAACAGAGAGGGCGAAAGATGGGTGAAGTTTACTTTTAACACTTAGGTTAGCAGGAGCTAATCTCTGAGCCACCCAAGTCCAGGCCACCCACCAGCTTGCCCCGCTGGACTGGAAGAGGAGAGAATGACTTTTCTGTGGTTGGGTGGAATCTTCTCTTGGCCCTGGATCTGGATCTGACCCTGAGGCCTCCTACAGGGTGAGGGTCACGGAACTGCAGCTGACGTCCTCTGAGCTCCACTTCCAGCCCGAGCAGGAGCTTACGCTACAAATCACCAACGCCTCCTTGGGGCTGCGCTTTCGGAGACAGCTTCTCTACTGGTTCTTGTGAGGACACTGACCCTCAGCGGGGTGGAGGGAGTGCCAGCTGCACGGGGGTACTGTGGGCCTGCGGGCAACCCCTTACATTTTCCAAGTTTCTCTATCCATACACGAGGAACAATCGTGTCTACTTTGTAAATATCGATAGGAGGGTTTAGTAGGATGTCTGGTAAAGTATGAAGAAATGAGGCCTTATCAAGAGGTTCAAGCAGGGCACAGTGGTGCACACCTGTAGTTCTAGCAACTTGGGAGGCTAAGGCAGGAGGATTGAGATTTCTAGGCCTCCTCATCAACTTAGTGAGACCCTGTCTCAAAATTAAAAACAAAACAAAAAAGTTAATGTGGTTATCATGATGGAGGTATGGGGGGTTGGGGGGCCGTGCAGACTCGGTCAAGCTCACAGCCACTTCCTATGGCAGCTATGATGGGGGCTACATCAATGCCTCTGCGGAGGGTGTGTCCATCCACACGGGTCTGCAGCTCTCCCAGGATTCCTCTGGTCGGATGAAAGTGTCCAATGTCTCCTGCCAGGCTTCTGTCTCCAGAATGCATATGGTCTTCGGCGGAACCTTCAAGTGAGCCCCCGCCCCCCTGCATCCCCTTTCAGCCCCCCAGCCCATTTGCATCATGCAGGGCTCAGAAGCCAGACCCACAGCCTCCAGATCTTAGCTCCACTAAATGGCTGTGTGAACTTGGGCAAGTCATCGAAGTTCAGTGCCTCAGTTTCCTCACTGGTAAATTAGAGATGATAATATGACTTATTTTATAAGTTCATTGTAAGGGTTATTTTGTTAATATTTACAATATTATTATAATATTGTTGTAAACTTTACAATATTTACAATAATAATGCAGTATTTACAATATTACAACATTTATATTATTTACAATATTATTAAATTAAATATCACAATATTTACAAAATATTTATAAAAACACTTAGAATAGTACCTTGCATATGATAAATGACCATATAAGTGCTAGTCACTGAGATAGGAGTAATTGTGAAGATTAGTATGGATAGTTGGGCATGACTAAGTTCTCAATAATTAGCTCTTTTAAAAAAAAAAAAAAAGTTTTAGATGTAGATGGAAACAATACCTTTATTTTATTTATTTTTATGTGGTGCTGAGGATCAAACCCAGGGCCTCACACGTTCTAGGCAAGTGCTCTACCACTGAGCCACAACCCCAGCCCCCATTAGTAGCTCTTTAAAAAAAAATTTTTTTTATATGTATTTTTTAGTTGTAGGGGGACAGTATCTCTGTTTTTATGTGGGGCTGAGGATGGAACCCAGTCTTCACGCATGCCAGCGCTCTACCACTGAGCCCCAGCCCCAGCCCCAGCCCAATTCCGAATCTGGTCTGAGAAGGGGACTTTGTGCTGCTCCTGGGGGTGGATTCCTCATCTGGGGTTGGTGTACTGTCAGTGTTCTGCCGAGTGTATGCCGAGCCCGAGGATTTGGAGAGCAGCTCAGGGCCTAGCTGGAGCCATGAAACATTCATCCTCAGGGTCCTGAGAGGGGCACCGAGAAAACACTCTGGGATGCCGAGGAGGGTGATCTGGGTGGACTGTCTGAGTGGAGGACACAGGGCAGAGCACCGAGGGTGGAGGGAGGCGGAAGCCGCAGGAGCAGGATGCTCTGAGCAGCTGGGAGCCACTGGACCTGCAGGGCCCGGAGCAGGGCCGGAGCAGGGCCGGAGCAGGCCAGGGGGTCTTGAGAATCAGGCTGGGGGTGGGTTGGGGCCGGATCTTGGAAACGTCTACGGAGGAGCTAGTAATTGAGGCTAAAGCTGAGGAGTCCCTGTCACCACCGTTTCTCTGGCTGCTGTCCTTTGTCCTGGATCTGGATGGGGTAGGGCAGGGCTGGGCTCACCGGCCTCTCCCCTCCTGCAGGAAGGTGTATGAATTTCTGTCTACGTTCATCACCTCTGGGATGCGCTTCCTCCTCAACCAGCAGGTGTGGGCAGGGGCAGGTCGGGGGCAGCAGGGTGGGCCTGCCCTCCTTTGAGAAGGCCCTGACTCTGGCCCCCGCCTTCCAGATCTGCCCTGTGCTCTACCATGCGGGAATGGTCTTGCTCAACTCCCTTCTGGACACTGTGCCTGGTGAGTTGGTGCTTGCGGGGCCAGGGGCCCAGGGGAGGCCTGGGGAAGGTGGGTGGGGAGGAGGGTGGCTGCCACCAGCACCCCAGGAGGCCCAGCCGTGGGAAGTCCCGGGGTCAGTGTGCTGCTGACTTGCTGGGTGACCTTAGGTAAGGACTCACTTCTCTCTGGGCCTTGAATTCTCCACCTGGTGGCCAGCGCCTCCCCTTGGGGTTGTCACAGCCCGTCCTCAGGCTGCGCACTGGACCCCACTTGGCTTCATCATCTGGCACGTAACAGGTGTTCAAGAACAAATTCCTTTTCCCCAGCGATGACCCCTTGCTGCTGTGAGAGAGATCTTACCCCATCATGGCAGGGTCTGGAGGGAAGGAGGAAGAACCAAGGAGAGGATTCCTTTGCCATTTTCTTTAGCAATTTGATGAAGCCCTTGTAGTATTCATAGTAGGAATAATACAGCAATAGAAGCACTTACTACACACCAGGCCCTGAGTGCTTTCCACACAGAACTAATGGGCTCCTCCTAACAACTTATAAGTGGAGTTATCACCAATTTATTGATGAGAGGCTCAGAGAGGTTAAGCACAGACCTCACACAGCTTTGAACGACTTGCGCTCCTCCTTGCAGTGCGCAGTTCTGTGGATGAGCTTGTGGGCATCGACTATTCCCTGCTGAAGGATCCTGTGGTCTCAACCAGCAATCTAGACATGGAATTCCGGGTGAGCCACCCAAGTTGGTGTGTGTGTGTGTGTGTGTGTGTGACCTCTGACCTCCCTCCCCCTCTGTGGCTGATTTTAGCTTCCTAAAGTAGAGCTCTGATGAGGCCACTCTCATTACTGAGAATGCCATAGCTCCCTATTGCTGCAGAAGTAGGTTCAACTGGCGTTTGAGCTTTGTTAATTACATCTGGCCCTGCCTTTCTAACTTCATCCCATTTCTCCACAGCTACTCTTTCCTCTCACTTCCCACCCCAGGGCCTTTGCTCATGCACAGCCTAGCCCCATCTCCCTGAAGGAGATGGACATAAAGTTCTACGTACATAATGTCATTTCGTTTTCTCACAACCTTGTGAGTGAGGTGCTAACATTTATACAGTTGTCCCCAGGATCCAAGCATGCTCAAGTCCTTTATATAAAATGGTATAGTGTGTGCACAGGTTCTATGCATTCTTTAAGCCATCTCACGCCTGTAATCCCCATGACTCAAGAGGCTGAGACAGGAAGATCCCAATTTCAAGGCCAGCCTCAGCAACTTAGCAAACCTTCTCTCAAAATAAAGAATAAAGGGGCTGGGAATGTAGCTCAGTGTTCATGGGTTCAATCCTCAGAACCTAAATAAAGATTATTTATAACCCTTAATGCAATGTCAATGCTGTATAAAGAGTTTTTATACTGTATTGTTTAGAGAATAAAGACCAAAAATGTCTGCCTGGGCTTGGAACAGATGCAATGTATTTTCTTTCTTTTTGATACTGGGGCTTGAACCCAGGGGCACTTATGCACTGAGCCACACCCCCCAGCCTTCCCACCCTTTTAAAAAATATTATTATTCTGAGACAAGGGTCTTGCTTAATTGCTGAGGCTGGCTTTGAACTTGTGATCCTCCTGCCTCAGCCTCCCAAGCCAATAGGATCACAGGTGTGCGCCACTGCCCGGCACAATTTTTCTCACTTATCAGTTGGTTGACTCGTTGGGCTCAGAGGGCTGACTATTCTCACTTTAGGATGTCAAGACTTGCTGAGGGAGGTGATGACACTTGCCCAAGGCCACATGGGGAGTAGGTGGCTACTACCTTCGCTCCTCTCAGAGAACTTTAGAGCACAATCTCCAGAGCTAGAATGGCTGAAGTTCAAATCCTGGCTCCGCCACTGAAGAGCTGTGTGACCTTATGCAAGTGGCTTAACTTTCTGTGCCTGCTTCCTCATTTGTAAAGGCCAGTGATACGTGTAAAGCCCCTCATAAGGGCTGCCCTATGGATTAAAGGAGTCCATCTATGCCAAGAGGCTGGCAGAGGACCTGGCACGGGGGAACCACTCTGCTTGTGCAAACAGTGGCTTTTTTTCTTTTTTCTTTTTTGTACTGGGGAGTGAACCCAGGGGCGCTCAACCCCCGAGCCACATCTCTACCCTTTTTCATATTTTATTTGGAGACAGGGCCTCACTAAGTTGCTCAGGGCCTCACTAAGTTGCTGAGGCTGGCTTTGAATTTGAATCCTCCTGCCTCGGCCTCCCGAGCCACAAACAGTGGCTTATTACTGCCCTCAGCTTTCAGGGCCCACTCAAATGCCACCCATCTCATGAAACCTTTCTTGATCTTCCCTTTTCCAGTCGGATGGGGTTGCTGCCTGCAGCTGCCGAGCTGCTCTCCTAGCCATGCCTGTGGGTCCCCCCAGAACAGCAGCCGGTGCAACCCCACCATCCCCCACAGGGCCAGCACAGGGCTGGGAGACACGGGCCGGGGCCAGTCTGCCTTGACTCTACCCTGACCCCTCACCCCAGGGAGCATTCTTCCCCTTGGCCGAGGGGAACTGGAGCCTCCTGAACCAGGCGGTGGAGCCCCAGCTGCAGGAGGAGGAGCGGATGGTGTACGTGGCCTTCTCTGAGTTCTTCTTTGACTCTGCCATGGAGAGCTACTTCCGGGCAGGGGCCTTGCAGCTGTCCCTGGTGGGAGATAAGGTGTGCCGGAGCTGTTGGCAGGGTGGGCAAGGGGGGCGAGGTGGAGCTCCCGAGGGCCCGGCCTCATCCCCGATTCCCTGTCCAGGTGCCCCACGATCTGGACATGCTGCTCAGGGCCACCTACTTTGGGAGCATCGTCCTTCTGGTGAGCATTGACTAGGGCTGGGGGTGTAGCCAAGCTTGGGGGGCATACCACCTACACACCTCTGAGGCAACTTGTGGAGGGGGGACCCCCGGGGCAGCCCTGGAGGAGACAGGCCTGGCCTCTTGCCTGTCTTGCAAGTCCCCATCTTGCCAAGCCCATTCCAAGTCTGTGAAGTGGGGTCGCTACTTCCTGCCCTGTCTGTCTCCACACGGCTGATGTGAGGCTGGAAGAGAGCCCAAGCCCTGCAAGTATAGGGCAGGATGGGCAAGGAATGAGGATGGATGTATTCTTTAACTCCCCCTGTTTAGGGCCGGGGTTGTGGCTCAGTGGCAGAGCGCTTGCTTCATACAGGTGAGGCCCTGGGTTGGAGCCTCAGCACCACATAAAAATAAGTAAACGAAATAAAAATATTGTGGTCGGGATTGTGGCTCAGTGGTAGAGCACTTGCCTAGCATGCGTGGGGCACTGGGTTAGATCCCCGGCACCACATAAAAAAATAAACAAATAAAATAAAGGTATTGTGTCCATCTATAACTAAAAAGATTAAAAAATAAAAATAGTGTGTCCACCCACAAATAAAAAATTTAAAAAAAAATTCCCCTTGTTTAATGGGGAGAGGGGAAGGAGTTCAAAACTTTGAAAGTTTTCAGTTATCATTAAAGGATATGTCCTCATTTTCAATTTTGTGAATCAAGTGCTGGAATTTGAACTTGGATTTGAACCTGGCCTCCTCTGCACTACACAACCTCACAAGGTGGTCATGAAAATTAAAATGAATTTTCAAGTAAAGCAATTGACAGCACCTGGTACACAGCAAGTGCTCAATAAACACCAGCTGCTGTTATGATGATCCTCTTCCTCCTCTTCACACTGGGGCCAAGCAGTGAAGAGCAGGGACTCCTGCAGGCTGTCCGAGTCCCCTCCCTGTCCCCCAACCGAATGCCTACATGGCCTTGGACAAGCCACGCAACCTCTTTAGGCCTTGGTCTGTCCGTCTCAAAAACGACAATAACAAAACCTGGCGCGTGCTGTCACAGTGAGGTTGAGAGGAGCTCACGGTGTGCAGTGTGCAGGGTCAAGTTCAGGGGTGAGTCAGCACTTGAACAGCTTCCTCCGAGGCCCCTGGGAGAAACCGTGCAGAACCTCCCCCGGAGAGGTAGCAGGAAGCTGGAATATTCATGCCCCTGGATATTGGGGAGAAAATACTAGGAAGAAAAGGAAGGAGCATCCCTTTGTGTAAGGCCGCAGCACGGGGCAAAGCCTAGGTGCACACAGGAGGGGTTGCGAAGCCCCAGCAGTCTTGGTGCTGGTCACTCCTGGGCTACCAGAGGGCAGGGCTGCGGGCGGTCCTCTGTGGTGTGACCTGCCCTCCTTGCTGTCCCCAGAGCCCTGCAGTGATTGACTCCCCGCTGAAGCTGGAGCTGCAGGCCATGGCCCCCCCACGCTGCACCATCAAGCCCTCGGGCACTACCATCTCCGTCACAGCCAGTGTCACCATCGCCCTGGTCCCACCCAGCCAGCCCGAGGTCCAGCTCTCCAGCATGATCATGGTGCGGGCCCCAAAGCAGGGGCAGCAGGTGGTCTGGGAGAAGTGGGTCGTGAATCTTCCAGTTCTGTGATGTGCGCCCCCCTGCACTTTCCCTCAGGACGCCCGATTTAATGCCAAGATGACGCTCCGGGGCAAGGCTCTGCGCACACACCTGGACCTGCGCAAGTACGTAGACAGGGAGGTCCTGGGCAGGCCCCAGCCTCCTTGCCCTTGTCTTCAGGGTGACCACACCTGCCCCACAGAGACAGAACCCGGGCTAACACTGAGCCGCACCTCTGATCCCAGCAACTCAGAGGCTGAGGCACAAGGATCCCAAGTTTGAGGCCAGCCTCAGCAACTTAGTGAGTCCCAAAGCCTGACTCAAAATAAAAAGAGCTGGGGCTGTAGCTTGGTGGTAAAGTGCCACTTTATAGGCATGTGCCACTCCGCTCAGCTAGCATCTACCCCTCATGCTGTGCTGTCCAGCGTGGTATCCATTGACCTCGTGTGACTATTCACCTTTAAATTAACCATTTACTCAAGTGCAGAAAGCCATACTTCATTAGCCATATAAGGCTAGTAGCTTCCACAGTGGACAGTGCTGTTTTACGAGCTAAATGAGTTAATGCAGGGTCATGGTTAGGGACTTAAATTCCAGAGGCAGGTTCTGATACTTATTGCTGTACGATCTTGGGCAAATTACCTAACCTCTCTGTCCCTCAATTACTCATCTATGAAGTGCATTCCTGATAGTGCCTGCTTCTTGGGGTTGTTGTCAGGACCAAATCAACTGGTAATTTAAAGTAGTTCAGATAATATTTACTTCTCTAACATGTTTAGTGTCTGACCAAGTAAGTAACCCCCGCAGAGCTGTCAGCAGAAGCGACATATATAGGTGCTTGGCAAATAAAAACTAGCAGACCTGGAGGAGACCCACAGAGGACACGGCTGGCTCAGGATGCACACCTGGGGCATGGTAGTGCCACCTGGAAAGGCTTGTAGACAGGTGGGCACCTCCCGCAGGGTGGCCCGCGGAAGGGGGCGCTCCCAGCCTTATGGCCACTGCTCTCCCCAGGTTCCGAATCTACTCGAACCAGTCTGCGCTGGAGTCTCTGGCAGTGAGTTGAGAATGGAGGTGGGCCAGGCGGGGGATGGGCAGTCCGGGAGAGGCCACCACCCAGGCACTGCCCTCTCTACCCCTCTTCCCTGCCAGCTGATCCCGCTCCAGACCCCTCTGAAGGCCATGCTGCAGGTCGGGGTGATGCCCATGCTCAACCGTAAGGCTGGGTACTGAGGGGGGGAGGGGGAGGGGAGAGCTGGGTGAGCCAGGACTGAGCCTGCTGCTCCCACCCACAGAGCGGACCTGGCGTGGGGTCCAGATCCCCCTACCCGAGGGCATCAACTTTGTGCGTGAGGTGGTGAAGAACCATGCGGTGCGTAGGGGCAGAAGGCGGGAGGTGGGCAGGGCTTCCCCCTCCCGGAGGAGCCCCAGCCCTCCCCTGTCACCCCAGCCCTCCCCTGTCACCCCAGCCCTCCCCTGTCACCCCAGCCCTCCCCTGTCACCCCAGCCCTTTCCCAGGCCAGGCCTCCTCCTGGAGCTCTCCTCCAGCCCAACCTCCACACCTACGCATCTTTCACGCCAGCGCTCCATGATGCCCAGTCAGTGCTTCTGTAGCCTCTTAGCCCCCTGGAGTCACGGGAAGGAACTGCTCTGCCCATCTATCCCACTAGTGAGACCCCTCAAAGTCACGGGCTCTCTCTCGCAAGCTCTGGCCTCAGTGACGGGATGAGTGACTGGGACCGTCTCTGCCCACTGCACAGGGCTTCCTCACCATTGGCGCTGACCTCCACTTCGCTAAAGGGCTGCGAGAGGTGATCAACAAGAACCGGCCTGCCAACGCCAGGGACCCCCAGGCATCCAGTGCCCCTCCATCCTCCACAGCAGCTGTTGCAGCCCCACCCCCACCCTAGTAGCTTCCGCTTGGGACTCCACCCCTCTCAACCCTCCCCTTTCCCCCTTTAGTCCCCAGTGCCAGAGAAGATGGGTTGAAGCCGTGCCCAATTTAATTTCATAATCGATCCATCTACTGTAGTCCTTCCCCTCCCCCTCCCCCTCCCCAAGGGCTGCCCTGAGAGCTCAGCTGGGGTCCTGGGATAGGACCCACACATCCAGAAGGACATCTAAGCAGGGAGGGCCAGCCCTGCCCTCCAGGTACTGCTATAGGAATAAAGTGCTAACTTGTCCCCAGGCTGTCTACGGAGAGGCTGGGCCCAGGCTGCCCTGCACAGGGTTGGGGCTGTGGGAAGTGGGGCAGTCCTGAGTCGGGGACCTGCCCACAGAGGCGTTCTGCATAGAGGAGGAGCTCCCTCCTAGTGGGAGGGTTTAGATCAGACAGTGAGGGCTTCCACGTGTCCCCTGGGTCCTCAGTATGGCTCTTTGTTGAGGAAGCGGGAGAACATGGTAAAGGCAGCTTGGGGCTTGTCAGTGGGGACCATGTGTCCAGCGCCCTGGGGAACAAAGCTCTGTGAGATTCTGACCCCCATGGTTCCCTCCCTCCTCCTTCATTCTCAGCCTCCCCCGAGCCCCCCAAACTTGCCCTTACAGGGCCAGAAGTAACCCTGAATAAAAGGAGGTCAGGGGTAAGGATGGGTGGGCTCTGCCCTTCCCTCTGCCCCAGTTATCCCTTGCTGGTCCCAAGCCCACCTTGATGGTGAGAAAGGCAATGTGGGAGAACTCCTTCACGAAGCCAGCGATCTGCTCCCCGCTCTCGCCGTAGTCCACTAGCCAGGGCCGGCGCTGCACCTCCATCTGCCACCAGGAGAGACATCAGCCCGTAGCCCCACCGTCCCTGCCCACAGCTACAGCAAGACCTGGAGTCCAGGAACTACCCTCCAGGTTTGCCCAGCGTGGACCAGAGCCACCCCAAGCACCTGCCCTCCGGGATAGGAGCCCTGCCTTACCTTCTGGTTGAGGGAGTCCACAAACCACTCATCCCCCAAGAAGTTGCAGGCCATGTCCACGTCTCCGTTGTATAACAGGATCTGGTATCTCTGAGCAGGGCCAACGGGGAATGCGCTCAGGCCTAGCTCAGTTGTCGGCACTAGAGCTTGAACCCAGGGGTGCTTGACCATATCCCTCGCTCTTGTTTTATATGTTACTTAGAGACAGGGTCTTGCTAAGTCCCTTAGGCTGGATCTAAACTTGTAGTCCTCCTGCCTCAGCCTCCCAAGCCACTGAGATCACAGGCCCCCCCACTCAGCTCGGCCCCACCTCTTCCCTGGCTTAAGGTCCAGGCCTCCAGGGAATTTAAGGGGCCCAGCTAAATAGCACAGACCAGGAAATTCTTGTTTTCTGTCAACTTAGAGCCTGTCTGGTGAGCACTGATTAAACCATAATTATCCTCACTTTGGGACATCGTAGTTAAAGGTATTTAAGAAATTCCCCCAGGGTTGTGTGACTACTCAAAGGACTTGCCCCTGGTCTGGCAGGACTGTGGGCAAGCCCTCTCTTGCCCTGGACCTCCATTTGCATTGTGATGTGATCTAACCAGCTCTTCCCATTCTAAAGGCTCTTTGGTGGCTGCAGACCCCTTAGCCTCCTAAGCAGAGCAGCCTGGGGTGGAGACAAACCTGGGCTCAAATCTTTTCCCTGCCACCCATAGGACCTTGGCACAGGACCTTACCTCTTGGAGTTTTAGCTTCCCCTAGTCCTGAAAGCACTCTGAAGGGGCCCCCAGCTTGCTGAGCTACTCCAGAGCCCTACAGCTGCTATTAGATCCGGCTGTGCTGCCCCTACACACCTGTGAATTGAGCAGCTTCAGGTACTGAGAGTTCATGCTTTGGTAGAGCCGGCGGTACTGTATGTTCACCAGGAAGCTGCCAGGAGCATGTGCACAGGCCCCAGGAAAGCCAGGCCACAGGGGGAGAAACCGTCAACAGATCAGACCTCTCTCCCATCCCCGAGTTCCTGCCTGGGAGGCAGACAGCACTAACCTGGGGACAGGGGCTGGGATTCAAAGATCCTCGACCCACCCCCATTTAGAAAGGTCTAGGGATACTTTTGGTTGTCACAATGACTGGGATGCAACTGGCATCTGGTATCTAGGGACCAACAGGTTTGAAAGTTACCACATAGGACATCCCTGGATGGCCCCTGCTGTGCCAGCTGGAGGTGGCACTGGAGTAGGTCAGGCAGTGCCTATTAAGTTCAGAAGAGCAGGCGATGTGAACAGCCAGTGTGGCCATTTACAAAACATCTGGGATAACAGGTCATTTCCATGCCCTGGGTGGCCTTGCTGCATGTGCCTTTGAGAATTCTCAACCAGAGGACCCCTGGAAAACTTGCTGATGCCCTACGAGCCCCACAGCTCACCACCCCAGAGCCACCGTTGGCTGCAGAGCCTTACTTGCACATGTCCCAGCGGGGCAGCTGCTCGGGGATGTGGAGGGCCTTGCGCACATACGGGTTGTTGAGGTAGGTGGAGGCGGCCGTGGTGTTGGTGCAGGGGGGGTCCATGCGCACCTTGTCCCCGGAACGCAGCAGTGCCTAGTGGGGCACAGATACAGGGTCAGATCTTAATGTGCCTGCCCTGCCATACCCCACACCCCATGGGAAAGGTGCCCCAAGCTCTCGCACACCTGGTGCCACGTCCGCTTGAATGGCAGACGAGTGAAGATATTGCCAAAATCCTGGACCACAGCACTGTCCTTCTCATACCTGCAAGTGAAGTGGAGGGATGGGTGCTGGGCTCCAGGTGGGGCTGGCTGGCCTCGGGGGTGCAGAGCGGCACCTACCTTACGTGGCCAGGTACCCCCCCAGCACATGGGGCATAGAGGTTGTAGATGTTGAGGCCAGAGTTGCCCACGATTCGAGATACTTCCTGAAGCTGGGACAACACAACACACGTGTTACAGACCCCTGGTCCTCCATGACCTGGCCCCTCACCAAGATTCTTCCCGCTTACATCCCCGTCATCTCCCTTTACCCATCTTTTTTTCACAGGGAAACTGAGGCTCAGTGAAAGGAATCTTCCAGACCTGGGTCCACATCCTAGCACTACTCCCTAGCCTTGTGACCTCAGGCAAGTGACAAAACATTCTTGGCCTCGGTTTCCTCAATGGGGTTCCAGAGAACACATCGCTCAAAAGTGCAGGATAGAAAAGCAATGGGGCCGAGGGGACAGGGAGTCACTAAGGGGGGGTGCGGTTCTGTTTTCGGGATTGCGGGGGGCAGGGCTGAGGCGAAGTAGAAGCAGAACCTCACATTGGTCACACATTCCGGGTCTTTGTTGTCATAGAAGTTACACTTGTTCTGAGAGCAGCAGTGGGTCTGGAGCAAGGACCAGAGCCTGCAGGAAATGGGGGAAGGGCTCAGCTGTAGGCAGAGGTGGGCGCCCTCCTTCCTCTAACCTCCACCAGGACCTGACCCAGAGATCTGTCAGCAGAGATTAGGAAAGAGATCACAGGGTGTGGATATGGGTCTATGCCATACAGATGGCCCTCCTTAGTTCCTTAAATTCAGATGTCTACTTTTGACCTTCTAGCACCAAATTCTTCTGGCAACCCCACTAGCTCATAGGCCAGGGCAGGGCCAGGATATGGTGCCTGGAGGATGACCTGAGATCCCATGACTGGCCCCACCCTAGATTGCCCAACTCTGTCTCCCATACCTGTTCCCCAGAAGGCCATGGTAGTAGGCAAAATAGACGAGCGAGTTGTCGTTCTGCTCATAGGAGGAGAGTCCGTTGCCCACAGCCAGCCCCTGTGAAAACACCCAGGGCTCGCTCATCTGGAGGGTGGGGAGGAGGAGGAGCTCCCTGACCCACACCTAGACCTTCTGCAACCTAGAATCCCTGGGTGGTCTGTGGGGTGGGTTGGGGGGGGTCACTCAAGGTACAGAACAGAGCTGGCAGCCTGATAGGTGGTTTCTAGTCATGGGAGGCAGCAGGCAGATAGGGTCGCTGGTGGCTGGGAGGGAGACCCGCTGGGCAGGGGTGCTGGGCAGTCTGACCTTGGGAACTACAAGGGTCCCCAGGGGCCTCCCTGCCCTCCTGCAGCTGCCCTGCACCTGAAGGTTCATGCTGGGGTCCTGCATGAGCAGCACAGCTAAGGTGGGGATGTAGATGCCGGCATAGCTCTCGCCCGTCAGGAAAAGTTTGTTGTCCTTATACTCCGGAAAGAGGCGGAAGAAATCTTTAAGGGCTTCAAAATTGCCCTGGGCAACCTGGGGGTGGCAGGATGGAGAGAATCAGGACGCACTGACATCTGAGCTAGAAAAATCCTCAAGAGGTAATGAAACCAACCCTGGGTGTGAGAGGAAGTGACTTGGTTACAATCACACCAATAGCGCATGACAGCCAGAAATGGATCCAGAGGCCATGTTCCCACTCCCCTCTTCACGCCCCAGTGGAAGGCCAGGGAAGCTGGAGTGGGTGGGCAGGCACCAGACTCACCTCGGTGTCATTGGTGGCATAAACCTTGTCATCAGAGTAGGAGAAGCCCACCCCAGCTGGGGATTCAATGTACAACACATTGGCAATCTAGAGGGGAGGAGGAAATGAAGTGAAGAGGGGTCCCCACCACATTGGAGTGCCCAGACACCCCGGCAGGACCCACAGCTCAGCTATACCAGGTTCCATGAATAGGGGTTGTACTCCAGAGTGACACCATCTGGCTGGATCTGCGGAGGAAAAAGAGGGAATGAGCACCAAGGACCAACTGGGTGGAGGGGAAGGGCCCCAGTGCCAGAGGTCCTTTACACATGGACAACCCCCCAGCAGGTAAGGACAGTTAAGTAAGCCCCAGCACAGTGAGGAAAACAGCAAGGTTCAGGAAGAAGAAGACACTTGGAAGACCACGAAGTCCTTTTCTCCCCACCTTTTTCCCTTGGGTAACTGTCCCTTTCCCCTCTTTCCTGGGTCACAGGAGGAGACAGCAGCGTCCACTCACCAGGAAAGGGCCGTGCTCCGTCAGGAACCCATCTAGGGAGCTGCAGCCCGGACCCCCGTTGAGCCAAAGCACCACCGGGCTGCTCTCTGGATCTTTCTGGGACTCCACAAACCTGGGAGGGGTCAGAGAGAGTTGGTGCGGGCGGAGGGCCCCTCCTGCCCTCCCCGCTCGCTCCCGGGAGCCCTCCGTCGTCCCGGGAACTGCCTGCAGCCCCCATCCCGCCTGGTGGGCTTTGCCAGCCGCCTCCCGCCCGCCCTGGGAGGCAGGGCCGCCGACCAGTAGTGCAAGTGCTTGGAGCCGGTGGCTCTGAGGTAGCCCGAGAACTGGCGGAACGACGGCTGCTTGGCCAGTCCGGGGAGGCACTGAATCTGGTCCTGGTCGGGGGCTGCCTGGACCCGGGACGCCCAGGACAGGAGCCACAGCAGGAGCAGCGGCGGCAGCGCGGCTCGGACCATCTGCGGGAGGAAGTGGCGGCGCCTGCAGTTTACCCGCTCGCTCGCGGCCAGGCGCTCGGGAGCCGCAGTCCCCCGGGAGGAGCTGGGCGCGCCGCGAGGGGACCCCGGCCCGGACCCCGGCCGCCGAGGCCCCGCCGCCGCCACCGACCCTGGGCGGGGGGACCCGCTCCGGCCGAGGTCCCCTCACCTCTGCTTCCTCGCGTCCTTGCTCTCCGGGAGGCGCCGGGGACTGGAAGTCATGTGTACCCTGAGTCACGTGAGGGCTGGCGTCACGTGTCAGCCCTCCCCAGGCCCCCTTTTTGCTCTCTGAAGGCCTCAGGGGAGGGAGCGGTCAATTTTCGGGTCAAAGTCCGCGGGCCTCGAAGGTCGTAGTCCGGGAGCCAGCGACCAGGTGATCTGGGTGTGGACGGCCAGGTTTCCCGGCCCCCGGGGACCCCGGCTCTAGGCGGGATGCCTGAGCAAGCGGCGCTAGGACCCCCGAGTAGAGCCTCGGGAAGGGAGTCGGGGGAAATGCCTTACATGGTTCCCCGACTGTCACCATCTAAGTCGGTGGCCCAAAATAGCTCCGGGCGCCGTCTGTCCTGCCACATGGCCCCGAGATGGCTGCTGCCTCCAATCCTGTGGAGTTGGGTGCCTCCTGGGGACCCGCGCGCCCAGAGCCCCCTCCCACCCGCTTCCACCGGGTGCACGGAGCCAACATCCGCGTGGACCCCTCGGGGACGCGGGCCACGCGCGTGGAGAGCTTCGCCCATGGTGTGTGCTTCAGTCGCGAGCCGCTGGTCCCCGGCCAGGTATTCCTAGTCGAGATCGAGGAGAAAGAGCTGGGCTGGTGCGGCCATCTGCGCCTCGGCCTGACCGCGCTGGACCCCGCCAGTCTGGCCGCCGTGCCCGAATTTTCGCTGCCGGACCTGGTCAACCTTGGCCACACCTGGGTCTTCGCCATCACGCGCCACCACAACCGCGTGCCCCGGAACGGCCAACCGGGGGCAGAGGCAGAGGCCACGGCCCCGCGCCGCCCCCCGGCCCTGCTGGCGGAACCATATCTGTGCATTGAGCAGTTCCGAATACCCCGGGACCGCCTCGTGGGCCGCAGCCGGCCGGGGCTCTACAGCCACCTCTTGGACCAGCTCTACGAGCTGAACGTGTTGCCTCCCACCGCGCGCCGCAGCCGCCTGGGCGTTCTCTTCTGCCCGCACCCGGATGGCACCGCAGACATGCACATCGTCATCAACGGGGAGGACATGGGCCCCAGTGCCCGGGGGCTGCCCGCTGCCCAGCCCCTCTATGCAGTGGTGGACGTATTTGCCTCCACCAAGAGCGTGCGTCTGGTTCAACTCGAGTATGGCTGTAGGTATCCCACTCCTGGGCAGCGACCTCTCCTGGCCCAGTGTAGACACAGACACCTGCTAGAACCCGTGGGCCAGTTTCCTAGACCTTGGTCTCTCCAGCGTTAGTTTAGAAGAGGGAAACCTGGAGGGCTGAAATCTGTAATCTCGCTTCTGGAGGCTGAGGCAGTAGTACCACAAGTTCAAGTCCAGACTATCTCTAAATAAATAATTTTTAAAAAAGGGCTGGAGATGTAGTTCAGTGGTGAAGAGTCCCTTTAATTCCCAGTGAGACGAAACAGCAGCAAGAGCATCAAAAACAGGAAGAATCCAGCTTGGAATTGCACCTCTGTTTGTAGTTTTGCACCAGTCACTCCCCATCATTGGAGGGTCTCCTTGCCCATGCCTATCCCAGGTGATCGATTAGGTGCCTTGTAGGTCCCTTTTAGTTCTTACAATGTTTTCAATATATTTTTTTAATATGTATTTTTTAGTTGTAGTTGGACACAATACCCTCATTTTTTATTTATATGTGGTGCTGAGGATCGAACCCAGGGCTTTGCAAATGCTAGGCAAGTGCTCTACTGCTGAGCCATAACCCCAGCCCCAGTGTTTTCGGTATTAACCTAGAAAAAATGCTGATAGATTTAGGGGGGTCTATCCGTTTAGAAGCATAGAGGCATCATAGACCTCAAATTGAGAGCTTTTTAATTCTGAGATCCAGTTCCACTTCCTTACAGCCCTATCAAACATTTTATTTATACCTCAGATCCCATCTCATGGATTCAGGGAACTAGAACCTGCACTGGGAACTGTGGTTGTATGAGCAAATCAGACACTACCCTGCCCACAGAAGCTGCTAACTGAAGGGGGAAGAGCTTTGTGCTGTGCTGTTATAAAAGCAGGGTTACATCATTGAAGGTCTTCAGGAAGTGGTTTTTTTATTATAATTTTTTGATACTGGGGATTGAACCCAGGGGTGCTTAAGCACTGAGACACATCCCCAGCCCATTTTATTTTTCATTTTGAGACAGGACCTTGCTAAATTGCTTAAGGCTTGCTAAATTGCTGAGGCTGGCTTCAAACTTGCAATCCTCCTGTCTCAGCCTCCCAAATCACTGGGATTACAGGCGTTGGCCACCATGCCAGGCAGGAAGTAGTGTTTATTTCAGCTATATGATCAGCTCTGTGAAGCAAGCTGAGCCTGACAGCAGAAGGGAGTTACCCAAGCTGATGGCAGAATGAGAACCAACGAAAACCTAGGTTTTTTTGGGCCTGGCCTCAGACCCACCCTTCAGTTTCCTGTGCCTTTGACCGCCTTCTTTCCACAGTGCCATCGCTGCAGACTCTGTGCCGCCTAGTGATCCAGAGGAGTGTGGTGCACCGGCTGGCCATTGATGGACTCCATCTGCCCAAAGGGCTTAAAGATTTCTGCAAGTATGAGTGAAGGTCTGCAGCCACCCAGAGGGCCCACAGGAGCACTCCTGGCCTTCAGACCCTGTCTGAAGCTGGTAACACTGCTGCCAACCAGGACTAGAAATAAACAGCTGATGCTGACATTCTGATCATTGGAGGGTCTCCTTGCCCCTGCAGTGTGTAGAGGCACTTCTAGAATCACTGCAAATCAGCAGGTCAGAGCAAGAGAGAACATTTTCGATGCCATCTAGACAAGGGCTTGTTTAATTGGGATACTTAAGGAGTACTGATGCCCCACACTCCCAGGAAACTTTCCTTTGATGGTGCAGGCCTGGCCACTGTATATTGAAAAAGCCCTCCAGGAGATAGAAGGGACAGCCAGGTGGAGAAACACTTCCTTAGAACAGGTTTCAGGTTTGGTGCATATTATAATTGCTTGAGGAACTTAAAGATACCAATATTGGTCTGGCTCTGGGATTATGACTTAATTGGTTTGGGATGAGTTGGGCATCACAGTTTCTCAAAGTGTCCCAAGAGATTCTAATGTGCAGCCTGGTCTGAGATCCAGTGCCCTACACCAACTATTTCATTTTGCAGAAGGATAACTGAGACCCCGAGATGAGAATGCATTTGTTCAAGGTCAAATAGAAAATGATTGAAGAGCATCCTTGTCTGGCACTACAGGACACAAAACCCTGGACTCTACTTGTATCTCGGATTATTTGGCTCCATACAGATAGATGGTCCCACCTCATCCTCATAACATCTGGTGGGGGTAGTCATCACTCCCATTTTACAGATGAGGACATTAAGGAACAAAACTGTCCAGGTGACTTGCCCAAGGTGAAGGCAAGAACCTAGAACACCCTGGAATTGGTACAGAGCTCTTTTAATCCCATCCCATTGTTATACATGGGTTCTAGAATGAACAGGTCAATGCTGTGAGATGGGTTCCAGGTGTAAAGGGGAGGGACTATGAGGTGACATTCTAGAAGGATAGGGTAGGACAGGAGGCATATGACTATTCCCTCACAAACAGGGCCTTTGGGGCAGCCATGTCCTACTTCATGTCTCCCCAGACTCATCCAGGTCTTCTACCTTCTAACCAAGGTGAGAGGGGTCTAATGGAACTGGAGGAGGCAAAGCAGCTTCACATGGGCGTTTCCTCCTGGTTCCAGGGAGGGGGAGGTTCTGCTGGGCATTTGGGGGCTGACCTTGGAGTCAACTCTTGGAAGAAAAGCCATTCCAAAAGTCCTTGCCAATTACTAACTACCACTTGCTCACTTAGTCATTCAGCAAACACTGCTCCATCATTTGCTCAGTGTTGGGAAGTGGGGATATGGATGTGAGTAACACTTAAGGCCTAACCTCTAAACAGTCCTCTTGAGCTGGTTTTAATTGCTCCTGCTCCTAAGCCCTGCCCCTCAGGGCCTCTTCTTCAGAGACCAAGAATAACATTCCATCTCATTCCTGTCTCTGCAGGTGGGGCTGCTTCTCCGGGTTCGTCCCTTGGCCTCTATAGTCCTACAGAGCCAGTGGTGGTGGCCTCTGGTGGATTAGGCCCACTGAACCAGAAAGCTGAGCAGGTGGTACCTGCTGCCCAGACCTGGGGCCCCACCCTGGCAGTGCCTGAAGCCAGGGTCTGCTCTGGGGGTGCTAGCTGGGAGATACCACAGAGAAAGGAGTGCAGCCGATACTGCCACAAATTCCCCAACGTGAGGCAACCAGAGAGCTTGGGCTGGGAGAATGGCTGCTCCAGAAGCAGAGCTCCCCACCTGAGTGGCCCCAGCAGGCCTGGGCCCCTGCTGCTGTGTGGGCTGTCACCAGGGGTTCTGCCAGTGCCCTCTGAGGCAGTGGGGAAGGAGGCCGGCTCCCAGCCTGACATCTGCATCCTTACCCTGGCTATGATGATCGCCGGCATCCCCACCGTGCCTGTCCCAGGCCTGCGGGAAGAGGACCTGATCCGGGCAGCTCAAGCTTTCATGATGGCCCATCCAGAGCCTGAGGGAGCTGTGGAGGGAACGTGGTGGGAGCAAGTGCATGCCCACACAGCCTCTAGGCAGATGTCCCTAATGAGATCCAGGAGGGGCCAGCCTCCTGGCTCCTGCTTGTAGCTGGATGAAATAGCACCAGACACATAGGGTGGCTTCTCTGTATGGTTTTTGGGTAGACAGGGTTGGGGGGGTGTATGGCAGGGGTAGGCTGGGCCACTGACAAACTCTAGTTCTTCATTAGGGTCCAGACCCCAAGAAGTTTCTCTTGCTGCCACTAACACAAGAGGTAGATCTTATCAGATAGATAAAACTGAAATTACCTACATAGGTGATCCTGTTTTGACAGTGGAGGCTCCTATATTGAATACTTGATCAAAATTTCTTTTTTTTTTTTTCTTCTCAGTAGTAGGGAATATCTCCCTATATTGCCCAGGCTGGCACTGAACTTGCTATCCTCCTGTCTCAGCTTCCTGAGTAGCTGGGATTACAGGTGTGTAACACCACACCCAGCTTGATCAAAGTTTCTTGTGAAGTCCTAGCAAGGTGAAATTTCCTCTTGCCTTAAATTTTCTAGCCTCCTGAAGGCAGAAAGGAAGGAAACTGAACACCTGGTTGAGCACCATGAAGCATCTGGATGAGTAGAATTCCCTCTTTTTTAATCTGACCAACCCTGTGAAGATGCCCATTTTTACAAATTGAGTTTAAAGAGTTGACCTATCCTGAGTCTCACAGCTAGTAAAAGATGAACTATGCCTTAAAAATAAGTCAGGGATGAGCCGAAGCTGTGGTATATGCCTGTAATCCCAGCTACTCGGAGGCTGAGGCAACTTAGTGAGACCCTGTCTCAAAAAACAAACAAAAACAACAACAACAAAAAAAAACAAATTTAAAAGGACTGAGAATGTAGCTTAGTGGTAGAGCAACCTTGGGTTCAATCCACAGTATTGCCAAGGAAAAAACATCTGGATTCACGTGTACTATCATCTTCCAACTCTAAATTCTATTTCTTCCACAATATATCCCAAACTGCCAGGTATAAAACAAAAAACTAGAAAAATATTGGAATTTGCAACATTTGACTTTATTTATTGATCCCAAGATGGAGCCAGGAGAAAAAATATTGGGAACCTGGCTCAGTCACTTCCCTGAGCAGCTTCCTCTGTGGGAAGCTCCCGGGCCAGCTCAATCATGGGGTGTGCGTCAGGTGAGTGATCTCATGACTGGGGCAGCTGTTACCAAGCCCTGGTCCTCAAACTTAGCACCCATGTCTTGTCTTGGACCAGGAGTCGCCTGTTTTTGTAAGATCTTTGAGCTAAGAATTGTTTCCACTTTATGAAAAGGCTGTCAAAACAAAACCAAGAATATACAACAGCCACTGAACATGAGCATCTAAGTCTAAAATATTTACTCTTGGGCCCTTTACAGAAAAGATGCTGACTCCTGTCTTAAGGAGCCATTCTTAAAGACACCTTCTAGGTAGCAGACTATGGCAGAGTAGAAGACTCTTGTCCTTATTGTGGAAGGAGTGATCGTGGACGGACAACAGCATGAGTGTACGTAGGGGGAGTATGTGAGTGTACACATGGGGCATCAGGAGTGATCAGAGCTGCACCTGCTCGTAGGGGCCGATCCAGCTGTCAGCTAGCTCCCGCAGGGTGCTGTACCGCCGCTCAAACTCCTCCTTGCTGCAGTGCTGCAAGAGCTGACCCACCTCCTCGGTTAGAAGAGTCACTGCCAGGTGCTTATCCAGGGTCTCACTCCACGTGCTGCTCAGGATGCTGTCTAGACTGGTGGCACAGCTTGCTGTCCACTGAGCTGGCAGCATGTCTGGCTGGAGCACCTGGCGGCGGGCACTGAGCATAGCCAGGATGTGGCGGCAGGGCAGGTGGAAGGCCTGGTTGAAGTAGCAGCTGCAGCTGGCAGGGGGCTGAGGCTGCACCTTGTGGGTATCCTCCAGGATCTGTATGTTCATCTTTTCTGAGCCACAGCCGATGAGGTGCATGGATTTCTGGACCACAGCAAGTTCACCCAGGCAGAGCTGGGCTGCTGGCCCTGTGCAGATGGCATTGAGGGAGTGCTGAATGCGAGCTTCTACCAACTGCTCTGTTTTGGGGCTGTCGGGGCCGGCATCTGAGGGGCTATGATTGTTCTGGGGACTCAGGCCCAGGTTGAAGCTTGCCTTGTCTCCTGGGTTTTGCTGCATATACCGGAACAGAGAGGCCATGCCTTGTTTCTCGGATGGGGTGGTGCCAAAGAACTGACTGAGGATGCGGGTGGTGACCTCCAGGCTCTGGAAATAGCGCCTGCTCTCAGCTCGGCTCCTCCAGCGGTGTGCCAGCCAGATGCGGTCGTTGAGCAGCCAGTGTGGGTGGAGCTCGGGCAGCCGGGCTGGGGGGACACAGTTGCTCAGGAGTGTATACAACCTTCTCAGGTTGCCGGCTGTGGCTGAGCACATGGTGCTCTGCAGGGAGGTCAGGAGCACCCTCTCCATAGGCCGTTCAAGGGACAGCTGATAGAACTTGCCCTGGAGGAATTTGCAAATGTGAAAGGCTGAGAACAAGACCTCAGCTGTGGGGAACTCCATGGCTAGGGTGGGCAGGGGGAGGAAGTGGGGATCTACCAGGATGGTACAGACTCTCTCCCATGCTGGGTTAAACTTCTTGAACACCTGCAACATCTGGGCGAGGCCTTCAGCATCCTCCTTGGCAGGGATGGCAAAGTAGACTGCCCGAGCTAGAGGACCCTCCAGCTGCACTCGAGGTCCATCCACCAGGAAGGTGTACAACACCTTGCCTCTTGGGTTATAGGTCCGATGGATAAATAAGATCTCAGGGAAATGGGAAAAAACATCTTGCATGAAACAGCTCTGGTAGTTGAAGCTATCTAGCTGTGGAGCCCTGCTAACCTGGTGCAGCAGCACAGGTGGGCTTGAGTCCTTAATCAGAAGCCCATTCAGCATTGTTAGGGCCATGGGGAAGATGGGAAATGTCTAAACGCCCAGGTCAAAATACTTTCTCTGCAGGTTCAAGCTTCCGTAACTCAAGGCTTGAGGCTTAACTGTAGTTTCCAGATCTTGTTCCAAAGATGTGCCTATGGAAAGGAGCAGAAGTATAAGGAGACAGTAGGGACTTGGCTCTTCAATTATTCATCTAGGTTATATTGACTGAAAACATACTATGTGTCATCACTATAAGTAAACAAATAGGGATATATCAGATAATGAGGGTTACAAACACCATAAAAATAAGTAACAGGTTGGAGAATGAATCCAGGAAGGTGGACACTTTAAGGTGGTTGGGAAAGGTTTCTTTGGGGGTAAGGAAGATGACACTGGAGATGAGACCTCAACAAGAAGCTAGCCACAGAAAGACACATGGTTCCAGGGGATGTAAATAGGTGTGAAAGCCAAAGCTGCCTATAGTCTTTGGGTTTTGTTTTGTTTTTTTTAAAATTTATTTTATAGCATTCTAAATACTTGTATAGCCTTTATATTTGCAAAGTACTACTTGGCATCCATTCTTTCTTTTGGTCCTGGTACATATAAAAGTAAGTGGCTCAGACTTGCTGGGGCAAGTCAGTGATCACCTTTGAGACTCAATCCCTTCCACCATCAAATGGGATTAACAATGGTGCTTAGTTTCTCCTGCTTCTACACAGGCAAGGCTTGTTATTCAAACACTTCTAAACTGGGCACGATGGAAACACCTGTAACTCCAGCTACCTGGAAGGTTGAAGCTGGAGTATCACAAGTTCAAGGCCAGCCTGGGCAATTCAATGAGACCCTGTTTCAAAACCCAAAAAGGGCTGGGGGTGTAATCAGTGGTAGAACACTTGCCTGGCATGGGCGAGACCCTAGGCTCAATCCCCAGTACTGCAACAAGAAAAGTAACCTCTGGTTGGTCCCCAAATGGGTTTTCACCCCCATTTTACAGATGAGAAACCGAGGTTCAAAGTTTTTAAGTGATCTGCCCTCCATTACTGTCAGTAGATGGAAGCCAAGTCTTTGGCCCAAGATTCTGACGATTTCCCACAAGGTTCAAAAACCCGGAACTGAGAGGGAATGCGGGCTTTGACCTCTCACCTCTGACCCAGGTGGGAGATGGGGATGTCTGACGTTGGCTTTCAGAATCCAGCAGAGCTGAAGTCAGCCTCCCACTCTTCGGGAGCTGTGCGACGGCCGCCGTGGCGACCAAGTGGTTCACACCTCCACTCCCCCAGAGAGCACTCTCCTACCACCTGGCTCGGTCGCCATTTCCCCCAGTTGACCTGCCTGATTGACCTCTAGGCGCGCCAACCACAGCGCCAGCTTCGCAATGACTCAGGCCAATGACCTGAGGAACTTGGCTTTCGGTCTTTGATACCACGGACCAATCGCAGACCCGAAATTGAGGGCGGGCCCTGTTACCAGGGTTACGAGGGGCTCGACTGGCAGAAACCAATGAAAGTCTAAGGGAGTGTGCTCACCTCCGAGCCCCGGGGCTGAACTCTGGAGCCTCCCTTCAGGCTAGACACCAGGCAGGGCACCTTATTAGGGGAACTTCCCTCAAAGGCCAAAAATAAAAATGAAAATAAAGAGCTGTGCTTTACAGAAATCCTGTGTGTGTGTGTGTGTGTACACCCTCCCTTACAGAGAAACTGAAGCCCTGTTCTCCAATTCTGCCTCTTCCTTAGGGGTCAGGAACTTCCCCACTGGCATTGTCCAGCCCAATTCCTTCCAGAATTTTCACAACAGATGCAGAATGGCCTTGTGACTTAAGGTCCCAGAGAACTAATGCAAGCGCTGATAGACTTCCATCTTTATCTGCAGTTCCCCTGAAGACAATCTTGGAAAGATGAATGACTACCAGGCTTTAGACAACGAAGACCACCAACTAGCAACACCAAGTCAGTGTTGATTCTTATCACCGCATCAAAAATGTTTATAGAGACCTAGAGAGGAAATCCTGGACCAGAACAGGCCAACAGACTAATTTTTAAGACGAGTTAAGCGGGTCAATGAAATTAGGGACTTGCTCATGTCCCTAATTAAGTTGCTGGCAATCTAGGATTCAGATTTCTTTCAGTCTATTTGGCGTCCTCCTACAAGAATATAAGGCAACCTGAAATCAATGCTGAAATTGGTAGGAAAAGGGCAAAGTAAATGGTGGCTTGCTAACTGTGAATTTATAGTAGTAGTAGGTTCTATTTGGCTCCACAACCCCATTAGACAATACTCAATTTCCTTTATAATTAACAAATCCATCTGGAGCTGGAATGTAGCTCAGTAGCAGAGAGGCTTGCATTCAATCCCAGCAATAAGAACTAAAAAATAAACCCACCCCGGAGTGCCCAATTCCTAACAGTAGGGTCAGGAGTCCTGCTGAGCAATTGGTCTTTCTTTGCCTAATCAAGCGGAACACATTTCCCCTGGTAATTTTTTATTTTTTTAAAAAACAACTTTATTTAATATGAATAAAAATAGGTACAAATAACAGATTCTTCATAAAGAGCAGCAACAAACAAGATTCACTCTCCTTCTCTTTGTTCCTGAAAACAGGCCCCTTTTACCAGGCCCATTTTGTCTCATCCTGTCTTCGGGTAGGGGTTCATCTCTGTAGGGAGAAGACTTCTCTCAGGGGTTGGGGAAAAAAGAGGTAACCTTTCAGTATGGAGATAACTTTGGCTTTGAACAATGAATGCAGTGCCCATGGAATGCCAAAGGGGAGGGCTGAAAAGGGGCAGATTCACAGTGGGGTCCCTCTCCTATATATATAATTTTTTTTTTTTTTTAAATAATCTTTCAATCCCTACCAAGGAAGACATTGGTCAAAACACTGACCCCTATCATGACCTGCCCACTCTGAACTCACAAACTTCCTAGGAGAGGGGTTTGGTCCAATTGTGCCAGTGCAAGTGATTCAATCCTGAATTGTGGCTTCAGCAGGAGGGAGTCCCTCTCCTTCTTCATGTTTTCCCCAGAGGAAAGGGAGGCAGCCTACGTCCCTGAAGTCTCCTGGCTGCTGAATGGACTCAGGAGGCTGACAGGGGACAGCCCAGATGTCCACAATCTTGCGCAGGGTAGAACAGCGCTCCTCCAGCTCTGGGCCCTCGGTCTGCATTAGCAAGTTTGCCAGCTCTCTGCTTAGGTCCTGAATCATATTGTTCCGACCTTGCTTTTCAGGCTGGTCTGTGTGTGGGATCACACCACGGTCCTGGAGCTCCCCATTGGGCCCCAGGAGGTGCTGATACTTCTTCTGCCACCGTCTGCACACCATGGCTTCACCCACGGGTTGCTGGCTGGTATGCAGCAGCGCCAAAATGTGCCGGCAAGGCAGGTGGTACCATCGCTGAAAGGAACAGCTGCAGCTACAACCATCTTTGCTAACTTGGTGAGAGTCCTCTAGCAGCTGAACATCCACCAAGGGTCCGGCCATGCCCACCAGATGGGTGGAATTCTGCACCACCTCCCACTCTTTGTTGCACAACTTATAGGCCAGTTCAGAGCCACTTTGGTTTAAGGTGTCTAGCATGTCACCCAGGGAGGGCTGCTGCTGCAACTGAACTTGCTGCGAGTCTGGCTTCGTCTCTTCCACAGAGAGCCCATTAAGGCTCCCTCCACAGATTCCAAAAGGCTTCTTGGCCTTTGGTGGCATGCTTGGAGGCCGAGTTCTCTTTAACTTGGGAGGAGCTGTGGGTAAATTCTTCAAGCCCTTAGTATTGAAGAAGTCTATGTAATCCACAAAGCGGAGGATGCAGTCCAGCAGGGACTGCTGTTCCCGAAAGAGGCTTGACACCTTGCTGGTGACTATGTCTAGGCTGTCCATGTAGGTATTACACGCATGCAGGCCCTTCCTTACGTGCATGTACCACAGCAGTTCACAGGAGAACCAGTGGGCCTGTAGGAAGCTGAAGAGATCCTCGTCTAGCAGAGTTTGGGACATCTGACAAAGATTTTTAAGGCTGGCTTCAGAAGTGACAAACACAGCCTCCCGCAGGGCTTCCTTCATGAGTCTTTTAAAGGATGGATTTGCTGAACTACGATGTAACTTCTTCTCCAAGAGCCGGGTTGTGTGGTAGATGGAAAGAAGGATGCGGGCAGCAGGGAAGATCTCCTGCAGAATGGGCCGGTGAGGGAATGAAGGGTCCACAAAGACCACCTTGACCTTGGGCCAATCAGAGTTAAACTCTGTGAAGATGCTCAGCATCTTGGCGACAGAGGTGGCTGTCTCAGTCTTGAGCACAGCAAAGTGGACAACTCGACCTTCTCGTTCCTTGTTCTCCACCAAGAAAGCGTAGAGGATGTGGCCCTGGGTATTCTCCACCCGGTGCAGCAAGAGATTCTCTGGGAATCGGATGAACAGGTCACTCATCTTGCTGCTCTGGAAGCTCAGCCGGTCCAAGTCTCGGCTGGTGCCCACACTGAAGGAAGCCATGGAACCCTTATCTACCCTAAGAAAGTTTTTCATCACTTTTGCTATCTTAGCCAGATCAGAAGGAGTGATGCCTTCCTGCTCTGGTTTTGAGGGCACTTGTACATCATTTAGACAAAACGATGGTTCTACTGGGGACTTCTCAGCTTTATCAAGGTCCTTCTTGAATGTGGGCAGCACAGGCTGGAGTTTCTGCAGACACAGTGTCCTTTGAGATTTGCAAACGGTGTCTCCTCCAGGAATAGCGGTTTTGGAATCAACGTGTACGTGGTGGGTGTTAAGTTCACTGATAAATAGTCTATCTAGTCTCTCGTTGTACCTCAGGAGCAAATATGCTGGGCACATGTCCGCCTCCCGTGTTCTCTTCCTGTTTGACTGGGTCCGAATACAGACAAATTTCACCTGCACATATCTAGGGAAGGTAGAGGTGACAATGAGAAAGGTGCTGACCACCCCCTCTCTCTTATATGATTAAGGCCCCGTAGGGATTTATATAGGCTAATGCTTCCTAGAGACTACAACGTAGTGTGGAATGGAAAGAATCATCTGGGTGCAGTGGTGCAAGCCTATAATCCCAGTGGCTTGGGAGGCTGAGGCAGGAGGATCGCAAGTTCAAAGCCAGCCTCAGCAACTGAGCGAGGACCTAAGCAACTTAGTGAGACCCTCCCTCTTAATAAAATATAAAAAAGGGCTGGGGATGTGGCTCAGTAGTTAAGTGCCCCTGGGTTCAATCCCTGGTACCAAGAAAGAAAAAAAAAAAAAAAAAGATTTACATGAACTCTCTAGTCCCAAAGTATTTTAGCTCTTTCTTTAAGACCCTCCTCAACTATAATTCCTCCATAGCAGTTCTAAGCCCCAACTCCTTTAATTCTCTTTCTGTTGCCATTTGTGATGACTGTCAACAGTTCAATCTGAGGCAGGATACAAGGGAAAGAAGACAAGCAGCAGGATGCCTGGCTGATTGCTCTCTGTTTAGAGTGTCCCCCTTGTTCCTGTTGTTGTCTTTTTTTTTTTGGTGGGTGGGTGGGTGGGTGGGTAAGCTACTGCCTTCTTCTCTAGAAAGTAAGGATAAAAGTAAGGTTCAAAAGAAACTAGACTAGATCAGGGTTATCAACTGAGCTCTTCAGAGCCCTCAGGGGATAGGGTATATCTGGGTCCCCTCAAACAAGGAACATCCCTGCTCATCTTTCATTTCAAGAAAAATATCCACACCCTAATTTGCGTGTGTGTGTGGGAGTGTGAGACAGGAACTGAATCCAGGGCCTCACGCACGGTAAGCATGCACTCCACTGCCGAACTACACCCCAGCCCTCTAAGAAAGTTTGATAACCACTGAGTTAGATGAGCTTTAGGGTCCCCTCCCCTTTTGATACTGGGGATTTAACCCAGGGGCACTTTGTCACTGAGCTACATCCACAGCCCTCTTTAGCTCCCAAATCTCTGGAATCACAGGCTTGTGCCACTGTGCCCAGCTCTTTAGGATCTCTTCTAGCTTTGGCATTTTAGGCTGAAAGTGATGATTCAAAGGAGAATGGCTATTAAACTGAATATCTGGTCCGGTGAGGGAATGAAGGGTCTCTCTCTCTTTCAGTACTAGGGATTGAACCCAGGGCCTTGCACACGCCAGGTAAGCTCTGTACCACTGAACTATATATCCCTGGCCTATTTTTTCTTTTGAGACAAGATCTTGCTAAATTGTTGAGATAGGCCTTGAACTTAAGATCTTCCTGCCTCAGCCTCCTGAGTAACTGGGATTTCAGACATGTGTCACTGTGCCTGGTCCTTCCTCTTTTTCTATTCCCATTCAACCCATGCT